TTATTTTTTATTTTATTTTATTTTATTTTATTTTATTTTATTTTATTTTATTTTAATTTTAGTAAGCTCTTATGCCCAATGTGGGGCTTGAACTCACGACCCTGAGATCAAGAGTCACATGCTTTTCCAGCTGAGCCAGCCAGCGCCCTCCACTGCAGTAGTGTTTCCCATATGAAATCAATCCTCCCCCACCACACCTCCCCAGGGGCCTCTGAATCATGGCCAGTCCCTCTGACCCATGTCTAGCCACTTCCTCCCTCATTGTCCACTGCCCCTTTGCACTAAGCAACATGCAGCTAACTGGGTGGGCCAAGCCCGCTTTCCTCACAAGCCCCGACTGGATGTGCTCGTCCCTCTGCCCAGAAGAGTCATCCTACTGTCCCCTCCCAGGACTCACCCTTGGTGTCACTTTCTCTGTGAATTCTCTCCCAACGCCTTGTCCTGTGGGCCTGTTTATAGCTGGCCAGCTCCCCAGCTAGACCGTGAGCTCCTGGAGGGGTACCTTGGAGTATAGGGCCCGCCATGAGGTCTCCATGGACTGACTGACTGGACAGATGGATGGAGAAAGGAAGGAACGTGGTGACATTGGCCTGAGTCTGGAGACAGAATGGAGGTGGAGAGAGGCATTCAGCCTAGCTGAGGGAACCAGGCAGGTGACTGAGGAGCACAGAGAAGGGGGCAGAGGAGTCCAGGAAACAGGGCGGTGCTGCTTGCTCCCAGCTCCTGGCCTGCTCCCCACACATCCCAAAGCCTCTGGATCTGGGCCGGCTACACCTGTCCTGGAGATGTCAGGTCCAGGTCTCCGAGCCAGGGCCGGAGTGGCGGGGGGAGGGGCCCCTCTCCCACCACGGGTGGGTCCCTCCCCTCCTTTCTGTAACCGTTTGCTCCTGCTCTGCCAAGCCGTGTGCCCCTCGCTCTGGGCTGACTGGGAGGGTAATTAGGAGAAGCCACCACCACCCCCCTGAGCCATTAGCACTCAGTGCCGCTTAATTAAGGTAATTAATGTAAAATCATCACCTAATGAGAGGTGGCACCGGCTGTGGCTCACCGGGTGGAAGGCGCCAGCTGCAGGTGTGGGAAAGGGGATGGGAAGGGGCAGATGCCAGGCTGGGTGCCCTCCTGCAGGCCCGAGCTAGCTGCGCTTGCCCCCCGAGCCTACCGTCCCCACTGAAGCCCGCTGGGCCAGGCTAGGCCCAGTCCTGGTACTCTCCACAATGGAGCAAGACGCTGGCTTTGCCTGCCCCCGGCCACGCCACGGCCCCGGGCACGAACCCCACCCTAGACGCCCACCCCGCCGCCATATAAGCCCTGTGTCTGTTGTCTGGTGCCGCCACATTTTTTTTTTTTTCATCAGAATGCAAAAGCTGTTACCAGGCAACCTTGAGATGAAGCCCTGCCACAGCCCTGGATCGCTGTGTGGAAATGTGGCAGGCAGGTACTGGCTGCCTCACCACCTCTACCTCACCACCATGGGGCAGAGTCCTTGGGGACCCTGTAGGCCCCGGTGGTCTGACTTAGAGTCTGAGGCCACGGCAGGAAGGGCCAGGAAGGAAGGGGCAGAATCAGCCAGGGCTGAAGCGAGAGTTAAGGTCCGTCTCCTTCCAGGGCGAGTTCTGGCAACCTCTACCCCTGTCTGGGCCTCCTTGCCACACCACGCAGGTGGCTTTGGAACCTGAAGAATTACGGATACTGCAGACCAGTACCCATGGAGAGTGGGAAACACTGAGGCTAGCAAGGACAGGGAATTGCCCAAGTCACTCAGTCAATCAGTAACTAACGTGGTTTGGCGAATGAATCCCTTCTCCAAATGTAAACTGAGCAATTACCGTGTGCCAGACCCTGTGCTGGTGTTAGACACAGTTCCTGGGGGAGACAGAAGTCCTAAACAGAATGCTCGGCGCCGTCGGGATGGAGTGGGAAGCACAGGGGACTGTGGGAATGTCAGGATGGGGCATGCTTCACCGGCCTGGAGGGCCGGAGAAGGATTTCTGGAGGCAATGAGACCTGCTCTGGGGCCTGACAGATGAGAGGTCAGCAGACAAGCCTGGGCTGAGAAGCAGCGGGTATGTCAGACTGGCCGTTTGAAGGTTGCCAGGCAGTTTGGGACAGGTGACTTTATTGCACAGGAACAGAAGGTGAGCTTAGGGGCTTCTGGGTTGCACTCCTGCCAGGCGCTAGGCCTGAAATCAGGGCTCTTCTGCCCAGGGCAGTAGGGGATGAAATGGGTGAGACAGCCGGAAGGCCTAGAGGGTGCCTGTGGCTCCTTGAGACTGGGGAAAGGCTTGTGGCTTCTCTCCATTGTGGGTAAGTCCCTGCCTGCCCCTCCATGAATTCACAGGGATGGCTCAGGGTAGGTAGAAGGGATGGAATCCAGGCAGGAGGGATGAGAGAAACCATGAGAGGAGAAGAGCATGTTAAGGACCCACAAGTCACATCCCTGACACCATGCTGAGCCCCTGCCATGTGGCCACAACCCTGGCTAAAGTCCGGGGCCCCAGACAAGACCCTTTGCATGAGGAACAGCCTCACGGGTTCCAGAATCCCTAACGCCCAAATTCTTCATGTCTTGGACCACAGCCCCTCATCACCCTGCTTCCCTCCCTTCGGGGTGCTGCAGCTATTGGTGAGGCTGGACGTCTGAGCCACCCACAGAAAGGAGACAGGCCAGGCCCTCCGTAATCAGAGGAGGTTTTCCTGTGTCAGCTGGGGTCAGGCACTGGGCTAGGTTCTTTCTTGTGAGATCCAGAGAAGCCCCTTCAGGATGGCCCATGTGGGTCCCATCCCTTCTCCGGGCAGCCGGTCTCCCCCGAGGGCTCCAGGCCTTTCTGGGCCTGGCGTGTGCCTCTCATTGCACTTGGCATTCCAAGAGCCTTCCCACTGCCAGCCTCCATCTTGGCTTGGCTGTTCTCTGTACCAGCTGGAGCCTGGGCACAGCTGCTCATAGTCCCTACCCTCGTGCCCCAGGTGGCTGCACTGGAACACAGCTCTCCCGTGCCAGGTCAGCTGCCAGTATGATAGCCGGAACACTGGGACCAGGCCTGATGTGGA